ACATATTTAATCAGTACCTGGTACACACGCAAAGAGCAGCAACTGCGCTTTGCATTTCTGCAGTCCGGAGAGGTCCTTGTACTAGCCACGGGCACTATTGTCAACTACGCCCTAAACCGGTTGGACGGCAAAGCAGGGTTAAGAGGCTGGAGATGGATGTTTCTTGTCCAAGGACTCATCACCTGTGTCCTTGGCATTATCACCTACTGGTGGATGGTAGATTTTCCCGAGCAGTCGCACAGAAGCTTCTGCTTCCTGTCCAAGACGGAGGCCAAAGTGGCAGCGCAGCGTATCCAGACGGATCGTGACGATGTCGTGCCCGAACCATTCTCCTGGCGCAAAATCCTCGTCAATTTCCTTGACCCGAAACTATACGGATTCGCTTGCTTGTTCTTCCTGCTCAACCTCGTCTCAACTTCGCTCAGTTACTTTCTCCCCATCATCCTCCAGTCGGGGATGGGGTTTTCAAGCAACCAGTCGATTCTGCTCTCAACGCCGGTGAGTTTGACCTGTCACGAAATCCACGACTATCCCACCTAACCCCGCTTCCAGCCATACTACTGGTCCGTCATCCCAGTCCTCATCACCTCTTTAATCGGCGACACCTATCGTGTCCGCGGGCCGCTCATCACATTCAACGCGCTGTGCGTGATAGTTGGGTTCCTGATGTTCGGCCTCCCATCCTCCACCGAGGTCACCGTCCGGTACATCGGCACCTTCTTAGCGACAGGCGCATACGTCTCCAACTGGGCCGCCCTGAACGCCTTCATGGCCAACAATGTCGTCGGGCAGTGGAAAAGGGCCACCACTGCGGCTGCCGTAGCTGCGTGCAATGGGCTGGGCGGGGTGGCGGGGAGCTATATCGTCCGGCAGCAGGAGGCGCCGCAGTATACCACGGCCGTCTTGGTGTCTATCGGGTAGGATATCTTGTTGGCTGAGCTGGAAAGAAAGACGTTTGCTGATTTGTGTTGTTGTTGTATAGGTCGCATATCCTCATGATCGTCATCGTGGGTGTGTTCGCGATTTGCTTCTATCGGTGCAACCAGCAAGCAGCTCGGGGGCGGAGGGTTATTCAGAATAAGGTATGCTATGCTCTCATAGACTGGCTCGGTAGTAGGCCGTCCCTGGTCTTTTCCCGCTAACTACTCCGTCAGGTCGGGTTCCGATATACCTATTGATCATCTCCATCTCGTCAATTATGCTATAGACGGTAGACTGCTAGCCATCACACTTTACTTGAAATAGACCTCGAACAACTGCTGGATTCTGTCTTCTCAAAGCAAGATTGCTCCAATAATAGTTCTCCACACTATCCTCTGATTCTCCTGGCTTGAATACATGCATGCATACATCAACATGGTGTCCGTGGGGTATATGGTAAGTAAGCAAGGGGCACCGTGCAAAGAAACCTGGTCCATATTAAATATCGCGTAGAAGTCAAAAAAATGTAACCAGCCAAGTGAATTTCGGACCAAGGGAGAAACGAGATGTAGTCCATTCAGTTCACACGATCTCTCTGCTCCAATTTCCCAACCAGCCGTTTCATTGCCGTCCATTCGTCCGCGGGCACGTCCTCAGGAGTACCACTCAGGCCCTTTCCTACCTCAAAGACTGTGATTACACCATCCAATCCACCCGTTGCAAGCCGTTTGCCCTCGCGTTCTTCCCATGCCACCTTATTAAGGCTTCGCGTCAAGATACCGCCACGGCCTCGAGTTGGCGTGGTCCGCACGACCGGGACTTCGGTGTCCGAGCAGAGATCCCAGACCTCCAGATTGCCAGCTCCATCGACGAGAGAGAAGACTCCGGGGCGGTGAGGCGACCACCGGGCGTCGTAGACCACATCCTCCCGGTTCAGATCGAGGATAGGTGAGACGACTTGCGTGGTCGCAATGGCCGCCGAGGTTGCCGGGGCGGTGGTGGCAGGTGGCCGCACACGCCACAGCTTGACGCTCCAGTCCAGACTAGAGCTTAACATCAGATCGCCTAGATCGACCGGGCCCTTCGCGGGATGGAAGGCAGTCGACATGACCGGCGCTGCATGGCCACGGTACGCGAGACGTTGGTCAGTGCCAGCCTTGGCCCCGGCTCGATCGTAGCGGTGACAAGGATAAATGCCTCCTTCTTCGGTGCCGACGATGAAGAAGGTCGGGTCCGATTGGGGGAACGACATGGTTGTGGGCGCCAGGTCCTCTGTTTTGGACGGTGGAGGTGTGGAGAGCTCGAGGTATTCTTGGGGCTGGGAAAGCATATCAACGGTCCATCCGCAGACAACGCCGTCTGTGGACGCGGTCAAGATATTGTGCGCGTTTTGTGTGCCTATGATTGAGATGCTGTACACGGGGTGCGTATGCCCTGAGCCAGTCAGGGGTGTCTTTTGTACAGGGGCACCACCACCGGCGCGGGACGATCGCGTATCCCAAAGCAAAACCTGCCCAGAGTACGATCCTCCGACGATGAGGTTGGGATGGAACGGGGAGAATTTGGCCGTCAAGATATCCGAAGTCGAATGGAACACATACTCAGGGCGAGAGTGCAAGTGTTGGTTCCAAACCTGGACTAGGCCATCCGGTTCATGAGGAGCAGAGGGATTCTTCGTGTACGCTGCCAGAACTAGTTCCGGAAACTGGAAAGTAAGTCAGCCCTGTAAAAATACCTCCATTGGATATGGGGCGACTGACCTTCGGAGAGAAACTCAAATCACTGATCATGCGTTTCTTGCTCCATCGCTCGTCCCAGAACTGGCAAACCTCCCTGATGCTCTTGCGCTTTCGTCCATGTTCGTCATCTTCTTCCAGATCGCCATCAACTCCGCCAAGCTCGTAGTCCGCGAGAACGTCGTACTCCTCATCTAGAGCACGCTCGATCACTTTCGCTGAACGTTCAACGAAGTCGAGGAAGTCCTCCGAAGAAGTGACGGCCTGCAGTTCGTCCTCGTCGAGTGTACGTAAAGGATAACGTAGGTTTGTAGCCTGGGCATCAGGCCCACCAACAGCCTGCTGTTGGGTGGCCTGCAATTCCTCCTCAATTTCTCTGCGAAGCTTCCTTCGAATTTCCTCATCGTGTTCGCGGTCGCTCTTGCTTAGGCGTTTGCTTGATCCAGTACCATCGTCAAACCCTCCAGTTTCTGAGTCCGAGTCCAGCGAGTCTGATTGGCGTTGCTTTGAGTCATCTGTTTGCACTCCCTTGCTGTATGTAACGACTTCTCGTTTAGGTTCAGGGGCAGGTGGAGGTTCAGTAGAGGCAACAAAGGGGTCCGTCACATCAGTCTGAACGGCGATTGACTGCGAAAGCGGTCTCGTAGCAGAATTGAAAGCTTCAGCGTTATCTCCACTCAATTGACTAGCACTCAGTACTGAGTTCGGCCTGCTGCCTTTTCGTGAGGGGCCGTCTGCATGGCTGACAGAGGCCGATCCTGGGCGATCAACAAGGCGAGCGATCAGGTCATCGAGCTCAGCTCTGCTATCTGAGCGACTCGGCACAGGCGACACGATCTTTGCGGATGGTACGTCAGTATCTGGCTTTTGTATTTCACGCTCGTGGCTAGGGTAGCATACCTCTGAAGCATCTCCTCCGGTGCTGGCCCGACTCTGCGAGAATTCCTTCTGTCGTAGCTCTCTCTGGCGCCTCAGCTCCGCCAGTTTAGCCCTTTTGGCCAGAATTTCAGCTTTACGTTGTTGCACAGATGACATGACGGATTGATTGAGTGCAGAGGTCGAATTGGGGGAGTTCCATCCAGACCCTCTACTAATTGATTATTACTATTATTTACATGCGGCTTCGCGTTCCGCAGATACTCCGTATCCGTACCCCGTCCCGCACCCAGAAGGAAGGCCGGGTTGGCGGATGACATAAGCGCAGAAGGGGCCGACGGTCCGGAAAAACTCGCGACAAGGTCTTCGCCTTGACAAGCCTCTTGTATGAGTATCTCCGTCCGTTTGCCTGCCATTGACAGTCGATACCCTTTGAAACGGTTGCTCGGTATTCGGCCCTCTGTTCATTCTTTCATTTGAATCCTTTTGGTCGCCGCTTCGGGAGACAGGATCTTCTTAAAATGGCCTCACAGGGTGTTAATGTGAGTGTCCGCCAGCACCCATTATCGATTGCTCGCCCATCTATACTGACATGAGTCCGTTGTACTACAGGTTCTGCGCTACTCGGCTCTCGTTGCCGGTCTCATTTATGGCGTCTACCACCAGAACTCTATCACAGCTCAAGCCAAGCAAGCAGAGGCCGACCGTGAATATGCCCGAAAGGAACGCTTGATCCAGCAGGCCAAGGCAGAGTGGAAGAAGAAGACGGCGCCCAAGGACACCAAGGCAGAGAGTGGGGGTACGTTCTGACAATCAACCGCTCAAAGACCCATCACGGTTATCTGGTCTTTGACTGACAGCATCATGTGCGACGTCACGCTAACTGGGTTGCTACAGTCATTACGGATCCCGAAGACAGCCGGTTCGACCTGGAGGCCTTCCTGAAGATGAAAGCTGGGGAGCTATAGATTCGATCATTGAGGATACTGAAATATAGAATGATTGGCGATTTTTCCTCCTTGCGAAGACTGTACCTCCCTTTGGTACAAGAAAGATGGCTCGGGTCCGCCCCGAATATGTATTATTGTTTGGTCTAATTCCCACTTTCGTGTTGCGAGCGAAAGGAATGATTTCTGTTGTTCTTCTAACCTATAGACCTTCCTCCGAGACTTGTACATACCCTGGGGTGTCTGTGCATCTGTACACTACAGTTGGACCAGAACAGCAAGAAATTTGTGGTTTCTCCGGTTTCGCCGCTCATGTCCTATGTCCGGGACACTATCGACTACTCCGTGCAGGTTGTATGCGACGCCGCATCATACAGGGCATGTGTAGGAGCAGGAAGCCATCGAAATGGCTCTGTCAGGGTTGCCGGTGGCCACAACTACCGTCTTAATTCCTTTTCACGTTTTGAGTTACCATGGCTTCAAGCAAGAGTTGTAACGCTTGTTGGCCACATCGACTTTTTCAGCCGGAATGAGATCCCATCAGCGCCATGACATCGCTCAACCCGTCGGAGGAGTGTCCAGTCTTTTCCCTAGGAGTGGTAATGGGTTGGGGATAGAGGAGCCCGTTTTGCTCGTCCCATCTCCACCCGCAGGCTGTAAACTTGCTTATGATAGCTGGATCGCCCTGCTTCGCGGCGGTTGCATCAAGGCCAAGGTAGTTTGCAGCCGCATCAGGCCGAATCGCTTCGTAGGCTCGGCTGACTTCCTTTAAGGTCTTTTCCTGAAAATGAACTAACCGCAGGAATAAGGATTCAGTCAGTCATCGATATAGTACAGGATGGGGCACTGACGTTCGTATTTTCGTACTGTTGGCTTGAGCATCTCAGGCCATGGTAGGTCTCTCAGAACCTTGTATACGTACTCATACTTCCGTTGCCAGACAGCGCGCAATAACCTCAAACAGTTTTGAAGGGTAGCATCACTTTGCGCTAGATCCTGTGGCATACGCTTCGTCATGGCGCGGGCCTCGTAGCTATGCAACATTGTGTTAGTAGTCAGTAGGCTGCGTGCCGGCAACTAGAATTCGTGAGACTCACATGTCATCAAGGAGAAGATGGGAGAAGAAGAAACCCGAATAAAACAAGCTCAAAAGTTCTGCTTCTTCGCTATTCGACGTTGAAAGAAAACAGGCAGGACCCTCATATTGTGACAATGTCTCGTAGAGGACAGAAGACGAACGAGCAGTTGCGAGTACCGTAGACAGCTGCTCCCGAGAGAGGGGCGGTAGATCCATCATTGAAATAATCTCCTTACTGCTGTCTGTCGGACTATGATGGAAATGGCGGTCCTTTGTCAATCGTGTTGTTGTACCTCTCTGGATGAAATATTGCGTAGGTTCAAGTAGCGATGCTGATGCGGGGACAACTCGGAGGTCCCCAAGCTTCTCCGATAATCGATTTAGTTAGATGCGGATACGGACAAACTAGACTACGTTACGTAGACTGACTGCGTACCGTACCTGATGCCAAGCCTCCAGAAGAGACCACCTTGCGAAGCTCTCCCCCCAAATCAGTATACTAGCGAGACTACACGTCCAACTACCTCTCTCTCATCGGCTACAAAGCACGTCGAGAGAGACATACTCTCTTTTGTTTTTTTCAATTGATATTTCTTTTTCATTCCTCTGGCCATTATGGCCGAAACACCTGTTGATGTTCTCCTAAAGGGCAAGACTGGCAGAAACACACGCGGACTTCTGCGGATCATTATCCTGTGTACCATTGCAGCAGCAGCAGTTGCCAGTCGACTCTTCAGCGTCATCCGTAAGTCATCGAGGGAATCAAAGTTGCTAATTTTGTTAATCTATCATCAAATCGACTGATCAGTTTCCTTCCACCAGGCTTCGAGAGTATCATCCACGAATGTATGTATAGGTCAATTGTATACCTACGGCCTTCGGCCTTCAACGAACTTCGCTTGAATGAATTGATACTGATGCTCCATGATATAGTTGACCCTTGGTTCAACTTCCGAGCAACAAAATACCTAGTACAGAATGGTTTCTATAGCTTTTGGGATTGGTTTGATGACCGTATGTGGTTCCCCACCGCACAAGAGTGCATGAAGCAACATGTCACTGTCCTGGAGTGCTTCTAGGCTAATCGGAGTTCCAACATAGGAACATGGCATCCTCTGGGACGTGTCACCGGTGGCACGTTATATCCCGGTCTCATGGTGACGAGCGGCGTGATCTACCATATCTTGCGATTCCTCACTATCCCCGTCGATATTCGCAACATCTGCGTCCTGCTGGCGCCAGGATTCTCCGGCCTGACTGCATTGGCAATGTACCTGCTGACATCCGAGATGTCTCCTTCGCCATCTGCAGGTCTTCTTGCAGCAGCTTTCATGGGAATCGCCCCTGGTTACATCTCCCGATCGGTTGCTGGAAGCTACGATAACGAAGCGATCGCCATCTTCCTGCTTGTGTTCACATTCTTTCTATGGATCAAGGCTGTCAAAAATGGGTCTATCATGTGGGGAGCGCTGACCGCGCTTTTCTACGGCTACATGGTGTCGGCGTGGGGTGGATATGTCTTCATTACGAACCTGATCCCCCTGCACGTTTTTGTCCTTCTGTGCATGGGTAGATACAGCACTCGCGTCTACATCAGCTATACCACATGGTATGCGCTGGGGACTTTGGCTAGCATGCAGATTCCCTTCGTCGGATTTTTGCCTATCCGAAACAGCGACCACATGTCCGCCTTGGGTAGGTCCATGCTTTCGCAAGTCCAAAATGGACGTTCAGAAGCTGACATTTTGCAGGTGTCTTCGGCCTGCTTCAACTCGTGGCCTTCGCCGAGTTTGTCCGCAGCTTCGTTCCAAGCAAGCAGTTCCAGAGACTTCTGACCGCCATGATCTTCATCACCTTCGGTCTCGGTTTCCTTGGGCTTGTTGTTCTGACTGTGACGGGAGTGATCGCTCCTTGGAGCGGCCGATTCTACTCCTTGTGGGACACTGGTTATGCCAAAATCCACATTCCCATCATCGCTTCGGTCTCGGAGCACCAGCCCACCGCTTGGCCAGCGTTCTTCTTCGATCTGAACTTCCTGATCTGGCTTTTCCCGGCAGGTGTCTACATGTGCTTCCGCGACCTCAAGGACGAGCATGTCTTCGTCATTATTTACTCGGTCCTTGCGAGCTACTTCGCTGGTGTCATGGTTCGACTAATGCTGACCTTGACCCCTATTGTGTGTGTTGCCGCTGCTCTGGCGCTATCGTCCATTCTCGACACCTATATGGCAACCACTTCCCCGACACCAGCGTCTGAAGCCAAAACGAATGAAGACTCGTCTTCAGAACCTCTTCGCTCAGTTCGGAAGCCCAATGTTGGAATCACCTCCCATGTTTCCAAGATTATAATGACGGCGTCTGTTGTCGTCTACCTGCTCCTGTTTGTTGCGCACTGCACCTGGGTTACTTCGAATGCATACTCTTCTCCTTCCGTTGTCTTGGCTAGCCGGATGCCTGACGGAAGCCAATACATCATTGACGATTACCGTGAGGCTTACTACTGGCTTCGTCAGAACACTCCTCAGAACGCCAAGATTATGTCATGGTGGGATTATGGCTATCAGATCGGTGGCATGGCGGATCGCCCAACCCTGGTTGACAACAATACCTGGAACAACACCCATATTGCCACGGTTGGTAAGGCGATGAGCTCACGCGAGGAAGTCAGCTACCCCATCCTCCGCCAGCATGATGTCGATTACGTGCTGGTGGTGTTCGGTGGTCTGCTAGGTTATTCTGGCGATGACATTAATAAATTCTTGTGGATGGTCCGTATCGCCGAAGGTATCTGGCCCGATGAGGTCAAAGAGCGGGACTTCTTTACTGCACGCGGTGAATATCGTGTGGACGATGGAGCGACCCCAACCATGCGCAACAGCTTGATGTATGGATCCCTTTCTCCCCTCCTATCTACCGCGCTGCGTCACGCTAATTCAAAAATCCAGGTATAAAATGTCTTATTACAATTTCAACTCTCTCTTCCCGTCAGGCCAAGCTGTCGACCGCGTCCGTGGGTCAAAACTTCCCACAGAAGGCCCTCAGCTTTCTACACTCGAGGAAGCTTTCACGAGCGAGAACTGGATTATTCGTATCTACAAGGTCAAGGATCTTGACAACCTTGGCCGAGACCACAACCAGGCTGTTGCCTTCGACAAAGGTCTTAAGAAAAAGCGGAGTACAAAGAGGAAGGGACCTCGGGTTCTGAGAACCGAATAGAGACAGGATTCAAGCTTTTCTTTTTGACTGATTTATAGCACGACACGAGTACAATCATACCAATGACTGTCGAGCAATTTTTCTCATTTCCGTGTATAATCCATAATCTTATCCCCCTGGGGAGTCCAGTGGAGACGAAGGGTGGTCTAGATTCGAATATACCGGCTTAGCCCGGATATAAATGATTCCGTAGATGGCAAGGCGCTTCGAAAGCGAGCCACGAGCGTGAGCAAGCTGAGAGCCCGATTAAAAAAAAAAAAATTAGGCGAGATCTTCTGAAAATGTAGTAGAAAAAAGAGGCGAGAAGAGATCGAAACAATTCCAATATAAGAACAGCATAGAGGATATACAGCGAAGATAATCAGTTTGTCACCTGTACTCCGTACCCCAGTACACCATGGCTGATACAATGATCGAACAACTGGCCACAAGTGCCTTTGAAAAGTCTCCCAACTCGTAGTGAGCTACGTAGAAGTAGACGGGACGGCTCATTGCTTCTGCTGCTGAGGTTTTGCGGGAGTATCGGGGACCTTCACGTCCGAGAATTCATCCTGGCCAACTGCGCGGATGGTGTATGCATCTGGGCATTTCCTTCAGTATGAGCTAATCATGCTTCTCGCCGTGCCTTCATCCCTGACACATGAAGAAGGAGGGGTCCCTGTGGAGTACGTACAGACACTGATTGTGAAAGCGACGAGACCGAGTCCAGTAAGAGCATTCTTGAAGAGATACGGGCGACGAGCGCGAAGGAGAGCCGCACCAGCGCGGTAGTCCTTGCCGTAATATGTCGAATTGAAACTAGACAGAGATGTTGGTCAGCGACTCATTCGAAAGAGTATGGTGCGATGGGAATTGAGCCAGCTGCACGTAGTTGCTGCAGATTGTAATGCGGTGGATGGAGTGAACGTACATTCCTGCAGCCATTGTGTGCAAGTATAGTCTGTGTGTTTGTATGACAGAAAGGCAAAAATGACAGAAGCCGGAGTGATTTCTACGCCAATATGTATGATGACCGGGAAAGTTGACGATTGCAACTCGGCGAGAGAGCAGTCTCGGCGTTTGTGGTGTGCTTTTTCTGCCGGCAGAACAAACGCGGACAGCAGCTGCTAGCTGTACTATGTAAAGCGCTCTCCTGTTGCCAGCTTTGGTCCTGACAACTTCTCTCGTTTGGTATCCTTCGTCAAATAGCCATCTTCACAGGCTCACTGACTAAAGACTCTAAATACTGTTTTTCCATAAAGTAGCAGTGAGAGAGGTTCCTCGCAGCACCCATACAAAGAGCTCTCGGGTCGGCCAAACTCGGCATCCGCTGGCGGATATTCAAGAAAAGCGCCAATCCTCGCCATCTCTGTTGTCTACTACTACTCTATTATCGTCATCACCATCATTCTTCGTCTTCTTCAACACATCATCGCCGGTTCAATTAAACGACAATTAGTAGATCCAGACTTATACGCTGCTCGAAACCTATTCACCCACTTCACGAAGCATTTTATTTTGCGGAAGGCTCGAGTCGCCAACGACCGCTGTCCTATTGCGTATCCGGCTATTCTTTACGCGTCCATGGGGCGTGTCTCGTGAACGCCGTGCTCTTCATCGGTCCTATGTCTTAGGCCGGTCTTCTTATTTACAGTATTTGTTTGCTCTGAATCTATGCAGCGTAGACACTAGCAAGGTGGCCAATACCTCGACCATACCATATCTCGAAATATTCCTCCATCCAGGCCCTTTCATATAGCTGTTGAGCGCAGTTATTATGTCTGAGACTGCGGCAAACCACCTTGCCGACCAGGTCGCACAGCTCAATGCTGCTCGAAATCTCGTTCTCGGCGACGCCGCCTTCTACCCGCAGATCGTGAACGGAATCATTCCAATCATCGGAGCGCACGCGCGATTGGAACTGCGACGATGGGGAGCGGAATTTCTGGCAGAAACATTCGCCAGTCCCGCTTTGGCAACGGCACAAAAGGAACAATTGGCGGGCAGGGTGTTACAGACGATACGAGAGATCTTAGAGTTGCCTGAGGGAGACACTCCGGTCTTGAAGCATATAGTGCAGATTGCGGCCAGCTTGTATCCGCTGGCTTTTAGACACATGTATGTGATCAGTTCTTTTCGCTCGTCGCACTGGAGACCTGTGGAGGATCATGCCCTCGTAGACGCTCGCAGCGAGAAGGGGATCTGGTCTAAAATTTGCTTAGTGTCTGTGTTTACTGACGCTTGTACTCTACCACAGAATCAATCATCCAGAAGACAGCGCTTTGTGGGAAAATATGACGGCTGTCAAGCAAGATATCCTGCGCAAATGGGACTCATCTCCTTATCCAGTCAAAGTGTGCTGTATCAAATTTGTTCAGCGGGTTGTTCAGGTGCAGACACATGGTCCCATTGCAGACCCTAGAGTATGTGTACAGCCCTCTGACTATAGTATTAATAAGACTTGGTTGTTGTTGACAATCTCCAGCGCCCCGAACATAATGAAACGTCCTTGGCCATCGTTCCCAAAAATCACTCCATTTTAGCTCTACCCCATCTCGAGGCGGAAGCCTCTGGCCTGCTCGACAGGCTGCTGTCAGTTTTCCAAGAAGACGCGAGGTACCATCAATGACCTTCCAAACCGCTCAATGTGCCTCCTCGCTAATTCTTTCATGTAGCGATCCTCTCCTCGTTAATGCTACGCTAAACTGCCTGGCGGTGCTGATCCGAAATCGACAGTCCGTTGGCAACAAGATCATCAATGCTGTTCTGAACTTCTACCCTGCGAAGCAAGTGCGCTCTTCACTGACGCCTGCTATCCGTATTGGCGTAAAGTCGATGGAACGAACGGCTAGGGCGTTGTTTGTAAATGTCCTGAAGAAGTGAGTAATTGCGATGACCCGTGGGTGCGGACACAGAAAACTAACGGGTCGATAGAAATCCAAGCCATCCCCTTGCGAGCAAAATGCAGCACCACATGGAACGTTTGATGCAGTCCCGCTTAGAAACCGTGGATGATGCATCCAAGAAGCGAGGACTGCCATTTGAGCCGACCGATGGGCTTGATAATGCCAAACGTGCCAGACTCGATGCAGAAACGCCTCCATTGATCAAGATTCCTCCTCTTCCACCCGGTCCTATCAGTTACGCTCAGCTGTATACCTTAACAGAAGACTCGGGTCTTTCCTCCTTTGATGTGAAGCAATTACCACCCGATCTCCTAGTCAAGATCGCGGTCCCCGTGCTAGCCCGGGTCGATTCGTCTGCGTTGATGCAGGCTGTTGAAGTATGTTAAATGTTCGAGAGGTCTCTGCATGGATCAAGTGCTGACATTACTACTACAGGGTGTCCGAGCCAGATATCAGACTCTTACTCAACAACAGGCCGCGAAACCTCAGGTGGCAGTCACCGAGGATGAGGATGATGACTACGAACCTGAATACCAACCTATGGATGTTGCTGTAGCAGCTGCTGAGCAGGCAGGTGCCGTATCCGCTGAAATGGCAGAGTTGCAGCCAGATCTCGTCTCTCTTGGTCCATTCGTCTTGCCGCAACCACCGCCATTGACGGAAGAGGAGGCAGCGGAAATTGGTCGCAGTGCAGTGGGAAGAGTCTTTGGGATGCTCACATCAACTGCGATGGCCCCGAATCCTGCCAAAGGAAAAGCCCAGCAGCATCTGGGCTTTTCTCGATTAGCGGGCAGCACGTTCGACCGTGATGCTTGGGTTACCTTACTTACCAGACTTGCCACGAGAGCGCCCGCAACTCTAGAAGTTGATGACAAAAAGACCGAATCCGACCCACGAGCCAGGAAGACCCCAGCAATCTCGAATTTTATCCGCGAGTCATTATACCGATACATTCTCGAAGACTTTAGAGCGCGGGTCAACGTCGGGATCATGTGGTTGAACGAAGAATGGTACAATGACCGAATTCAGATGAAGTTCGCTGCTACTCAACGAACCGAGGAAGACGAGGAGGCATCTGTACCCCTACATTACGATCAATGGGTCCTGCGACTACTGGATGGCTTTTTACCCTATCTGGATTCCCGGGATACCAAGATTTTTATCCGATTTCTCAGCGAAATACCGGAGGTCACTATTCCCATCACAAAGCGAGTCTCCAGTCTTGCGAAAGATCCTGAAAGAGTCAACTTATGTGTTCAGTCATTATTGTACGCGTCCTTTCCTTTCTTGAATGACTATTTATGACCACTAACGCGCTAAACTAGGTATCTTGTGATGTTCCGCCCTCCTGCTCGGGAAATGTGTCTGAATGCTTTGGAAGACGTCTACAATACATGTAAGTTGAACTCTCTGCTCGATTCCTTGATATCGTCAAACTGATCATCTATCCCCCAGACGAGGAATCGAAACCGATCGCAGGAAAAATCCTGGCCAAGTGGCGACCGCACGTCGTAGAACAGCAGCAGCAACAGCAGCAACAGCAGCAACAAGAACAGTCCCAACAACAGGAGCAGATCTCCCTGGCCAGCCGTTCAGTACCAGCGGAAAACACTGCACCACCCGCAGATGACGGGAGTGCGCCAACCCAAGCGGACTCCAGCATTCAGTCGCAAGTATCTGCCAGCGAAGCTTGACGACGATCAACTTGATTCTATGCATAGATGTTGAAATGACTTTGTGTGAACGTTTCATTCATCTCATGGGCGTGATACCCTTCAACGTCTGTCGGAAATTCTGTATCTTGAAATAGCTGCCTACACCAAGAAATGAGATCCGCCATGACTTTCCTGCCACGAACCCACCTGTACTCCTTGATAATCCAATCCTCAGACATAGAGCCTGAGATGAAATCCATTGGTGTCCAGAATCTTGCCTAAATATGTACATATTTCCCCAGTAACTATGCATCTCGTAAAGCCTTCTTCTTTCCCTCATGCAAAGCAGTCCCTGATTCCATTAAGGGGAACAACAAACTCATCCCTTCCGTGCCGTTTGGCAGTCAACAGTGCACCCATGTAATGGAAAGACTGGTAGGGAATATACACCAAAGACCCA